ACAGCAAACAAATTATATAAATGGAGTCTAGAACGTTTATATTTTATGACACAGATATCGGTATTTCAATAATGATAGTATTTTCTTTCCTTTTTTCTCCAGAAGTTGATCTCAATGGCTCTTTTGCATTCCGTGCCAATGTTTTGACAGTTGACGACAATGAAAGACTAATTTTTGATAATTGGATACCTGTGACGTATCAGAACTGGAATCCAAACGACGAGGTTGAGTCGGCAGTTGACCCTATCTTTGGCCTCCTTTTGACTTATCATAACGACGGTAGGTGGCGCTGGGTTACTGAGAGGAATTACACCTAATATACAGGAGAAAACGGACTATAACGTCCCTTTATTTGTGAGGATTCTCCGTTTTATTTGGAGCCGGAAGGGTGTTCTTTTACGTAATGTTTCATTTTTTAAAATGAAAATAAAATTTTGCCACCATTATATTTTTATTATTGAAACAATGGCAGTGTTAGACTAGTCAGTAAAAAATGTAAATAATTGATAGAATCTTCTAAATATGATGTAGTATATTTTTCTTGGAGGAGATTTATCCTCAAGTTCTTAATTAAAAATATGGATAGCATGTAGACAAAATGTACAATGTGGCGTCTCGTTATCTTTGCACTTCTTCATTGAAACTTACACTTAGATCTCTTCTTTCCAAAAAGAAAAAAAAAACTTAACACAAAGTGTTATTATTAATTTTATGCAACCGTAATCGAAGACTCGGGGACATATATTTTTTTTTACTCTGACCGTCCGTCCGTCAGTCTGTCTGCTGCCTGTTGGTCTGTTGGTCAGTTTATCTGTTTGTCCGTTAGTACGTAAAAAACTTTAATCTTACTCATAACTTTTGATTGGTTTGAGGTATGGCTTTTATTTCTTTCAGGTGTATTCCAAGTGAAAAAAACCTTTCTTAGGGTATAAATATGTTTGATATTTTGACCTTGTTCTTGGAATTTGACCCACTTAAAAAAAAATAATCTTGGACATATCTATTGAACGGTTAAATCAGGTAATTGTATGCTCCAAATTTTCATTTCTTTTGACAAGACCTTGTCTTGGGTACCAACATTATTGACCCTTTGACCTTGACCTTATGAGTTTGACCTACTTTTGCAAAAAACTTTTACCTTGTCTTTAATTTCTGAACGGTTAGTGCTAGGGCTTTAATACTGTATATGTATTATATATAGCGTACTATATTTAGCAGAAATTGTTTTCAACAAGTTAGCGTAAATTTGATTTAGCGCTTTTTGGAATGTCCTGTACAGGAACATATATACACAAGACCTTTAGCGATGTACTTGATTTAGCGGAAGCTGCTTTCCACGAAAGGCGCTAAATAGAATACCCCGCCAAATGTTATACGTTTTCAGTATTTCACAGCTTTATTTCTTGTGGCAAGCGTTTTTCTTGAATACAAACATTTATTTTACCCTTTGATCTTGACCTCAGACTTTGACATACTTTTAAAAAGTTCGATCATATCTTTTTAATGACTGATTCTAAAACTTTCACATTTCACCTGTGTATTTCTTCTGATATTTATTTGTGTACTATTAATGTTGGCCCTTTGGCCTTGACAAGTGTTGACTTACTTTTGAAAATCTTTTTTTTTTTTTTTTTTGGCCATAATTATTGAACTGTTGGTGCTTTTATAGCTTTTAGATTTCAAAGGAGAACTCATTGTGACAAGACCATTTTTTTTTTGAGTACCAACAATGATGATCTCTTGACCTTGACCTTAGAGTTTGACTTGCAAATGACAACCATTAGGCTTTAATTAACCATAAGCGGATATACGAGGGCATCATTGTTTCCTCAAAACATCTTGTTGTTTTAACATCAGCTCCTAAAAAAACTTTTTCTCCTTATTGGACTACATATACCAAACTGCAGTCTATAAAATTTTGGGAAAAATGTATCATAGTCCATACACCGCATAATAGAGAATGAATTGTCTTAACACACACTTAAGCATTGAATCGTTTTTTTTTTAAAGATGTTGTCTCATAATATTAACGATATGTGCAAACAAATTGAAAAACGCGCGCTAGCGCGTTATGAAAATTTGTTTGCACACACCGTTGCAGATTCGAGACTACATCTTTAAAAAAATAATGATTCAATGCTTACATATATACTTTTTTTTAAAACTCCCCCCCCCCTTTTTTTTTTTAAATATCTGTATTATCCCTCGGGTAAATTACAATTAATAGAAATAAACGTGAATTTTGATTTTCGCTTATGACATTGCACTTACACGTGGTTGAACATTTATGACGTCAAAATAAAATGCATACTCTAACCTTTTGACCCCCCCCCCCCCCCCCAGCCTTTGTAATTGTGTTTTGAATGCGTAGATATCAACACATTTTATAAACAAAATACTTGTAAAATATAAATATATCTGTGTTCCATCTCGAACAAAAATTACAGTTTTGATATAATTCTTCGATGACGCATCTTGTACATTCAAGAGCGAAAAACTCTATTTTTTTATTCTTTTTAAATGATTGTCTGTAGCAATAAAAGATATTTATCTTCAGAAAATGTAATGTTTTGACTTTATCTTCATAACATACCCTTGTTAAAAAGAGTTAGACTTGTAAGACGTACAAACCTGGCATCATTGCGTTTCTTGCCAGAAAAATTTAAGCCAAATAAATATATTAATGGTATATTTCAATTTGTTGAAAGAAATATAAAGTACATGTGACGTCAAATATTTAGCTCATTTTTTTCCACAAAATAAAAATGGAAGAAAATCATCCAATTAAGCAATTATTGTTAAGTATATAAAGTATATTAAGTATATAATGAATTATGTCTGCTCATCCATTCAAAATACTGCATGCATGGGGAAAAAAAAGATGGAGGATATCTCTTTAAAGAAGCCTAATCCTGGATATATTGTACTGCGGTAAATGAACATCAAATGTAACTAATTATGATTAGGTTATAAAATAACTTTAATACAATGAAACGTGTTTTATCCGACATGCACTGGGAGAAAATAAACATAATGTAAGTTGCACAGTGTAAAGATAATAGAAACTAGTATTAATTGTAACGGGGACCGTTACAGATGTTCCCCAAACGCTCCCCAACTTCCTTTTGGTGTCATTCCCTGTAAGCTTCATTAAATAAGGCAATCAAGTATATTGGGGGTTTTTTACGCATTACACACGCGCGCACAGGCATGCATGTACAAAATGACCATGTCAACTTGTCTACACTTTTAATACATCTTTATATTCAAATTTCATCAAAAGATAAAAAAAAAATCGGCTATATTAAGTACATCTGTCATTTTACGCATTGCACGCGTGCGCACGTGCATGCATGTCCATAATGACCGTGTCATCTTATCAACACTATGAATATATCTACATATTTTGAGTATCAAAACATTTCATCAGAAAGTATAGAAGTTACAGCTATATCAAGTATATTGGTCATTTTAGCATTGCATGCGCGCGCACGTGCACGCATCTGCATGTTGACAATGACGTCTTGTCTACATTTATAATATGTCTATATATTTTGAGTATCAAAGCATTACATCAAAAAATGTAAAAGTTATGGTTATATCAATTATATTGGTAATTTAACTCACTGCACGCTTACGCACGTGCATGCATGTGTGCGCTGACCATGTCATCTTGTCTACACTTCTAATATATCTTTATATTCTGAGTTTCAAAGCAATTCATCAAAAAATGTTTTCAAGAAATTTCCTATGTAACATGTTGTAGCACCTTGTAATATATACTTATATTCTAAATTTCAAAGTATTTTGTCAAAAAACAAGGAAATTATTGAGATTTTTGTATCAGCCAATCAGAAAAGAGCGCACGTGCATGCGCGTGAGTTCACGCTAATTAGACTACTAATATATCTTTATATTTTGAGTTTCATTTCACTCATTGCACGCGCGCGCACGTGCATGCATGTGCGCGCAAAATGGCCTTCGTTCCGAACACCTACACAACATGCCTATTAACCCTAAAAGGGTTTCATGTCAATCGGATGAGTGGTTCTATGAGAACACTCCCGGACAAAAAAGTACCGGAGAAGAAAGTAGAAAAAAAGAATAATAAGAAGAAGAAGAAGAAGAAACAGAGTAAAAACAATATGTTCCCAAACTTCGTTTGGGGAACATAATTAGTAGAAATGAGAATGAAATTCAATGTCGGAATTCACAGATTGTACAGGTGTCGGAGAAAACAGTTTCCAATGTAAAACGTTTAATAATAGAGCAATCTTTATCCAAATTATCAGTCGAGGCATCTTCACGTGACAGTGTTCTTAAATAAAAAAGAAATATTTCTAATTTCAAATTTATTACAACACATATCATGTACAGCTTTAACTGGGTACATTCGGTAAGGAAAATTGATAAATCTTTATTGCTTCAGCAAATAGTTCAACCATAAAATCCCCTCAAAACACAATCCTTTACACGTTTTCTCTCTTAATAAATAACATCTCCAAAAAAAAAAAAAATGAATAGAATCCCATGATAAATTTAAAATTGTCTCTTTTATCAGAAATGTTTTGTCTGACTGATTGGTGATCGTCGTCAATTTGAGGCCTGGTCTCTCAATTTTGAATGTTCATATGTTGAAAATAAAATAAAAATATTACATAATGTTTAAGAAAAATAGAAGGGTATGTTTTATAAATAAAAAATAAAAGAATTAAATAATATTTCAGAAAAAAACAAAAGGGCATGTGTTATACCTCTTACGAATTTTCTAATAGCCTTTAAAATGTTCAAGGAAATATCAAAAAGTAAGTACGGGTTCCGAAGATTGAGTGTTGTTTACCTAGTGTCGTTTAGTTAACATCAATGTCTCCCTGATAGTTGATCCATCCACTAAAGTAGGAGACCAAGGATTGGTCCAGACTGCGGGGGACCAGGGACCGTTAAGGAAGGCGTAGTGACAGAAGTTAAACCACCATCCTCCTCCTTGACTAACAGCACAGTTATATCCAGCCCTTATCCCTGTCCGGTGTACTGAAGTACATCCCAGACAGATCACGGCTAGAATAACCCGTGTTTAACATGCTGTCACCTGCAGAGAAGATACATCACAGAGATCATTGATTGATTGATTTAAGTATTGAATCATTATTTCATGAAAGATTTAGTCTCATAACTGCAAGGGTGTGTGCAAACAAAAATTGAGTAAGACGCGTTAGCGCTTACATTTACATTTTTAACTTCTTACCTTGACTGCAAATTTGATTTCAGTTTCAAAATCACTGTATTATCCTTTGGGTAAGTTACAATTAATGGAAGAGACATTGCAACAGCTTCTGTTCAATGTAAGCGTGATTTTTTACTTATGACGTAGCACTTCCACGGCGTTCAACATTTGTGACGTCAAATTAAATCTTAATTAAACTTTAACCTTTTGACCCCCTGTCTGTGTTATGGTGTTTTGAATGCCGTAGCTTTCCTAACACTTAATAAGCAAAATACATGTGGAATGTAAATACATCACATAAATCTTGGTGTCAATAATACTGAAGTACATATAAGATAGACAGCTTCTCGTGCTGTCCTCTGTAAATAGCAATGATACATGTATTTATGAAAAAATACAATACTTAAAAAACTCTGCAATTCATATAGCATCCTTTCTAATGGAACAATAAACCCCAAAGCGTGCTACACTTTTAAAGTAGGATTAAAAAATATTTTTTTTTTTATTTTTTGGTAAAGGTCACTGGAAATTTTAGAAAAATGAATATATTTAAAATTTATATCTGTTAGAGACCGTGCCTTTAAAATGTATAAAATGCAATACGAAGCAAATCATTCAATTTGATAACAAGGTAAGAAATGATGTACCTGTACCTGTAAATGTTTTAAAATATTAGATTTTAATTTTAATATAGAATAGGTATTGTAAAAGTGTAATGCGCTGAAATGTTTTGAATTCGGCTGTTTTAATTTGACTATGTTCCCGATCCAATAATTTTCTTTGAACATCAAGCTTCGGTGAACATGTCGACATAACATATCAAATACGCACTGTAAGATTTCTATTCCGTAATAGTTAAAATGTGAATTATTGAAAATCATCAAGAAACCTAAGCTGAATAATAATAGCGGATCAAAGGTAGTCACTGGATATACTACTTACAAATAATTTAACATAATTTTCTTTGTTTTTAAAATATATAATTTAAAATTGCAACTACTTAACAATGACTATAATTCAATGTCCGCGGAATTCCTGAATTGTACCTACAAATGATATTGTGAAATATAAAAAGAGGTATAATTAACACGGGATCAAAGATTTTTTACAGAATATTAGAGAAAATATGTATCTTTGTCTCTTTTATTCAACAACTTAGTAAACTTTCTATGCAAAGTATTTAATGATGCTGCACTTGATTTGAACCCAATTTTAAGAACTTAGCTTGAATACACTTACCTAAGGTTCCCGTGGCAGGTCCAGAAAGAAAGAGTTTGTAATTCTCTGTTTCATTGAAGACAGCGAATCGATCGTACATTTCATACAGCGTTGTACCATTCTGGAGAGTGATGGACACATAAAGGAATAACTTGTTTCTTTTGTTAACTGATGGATTACGTCATTTCCTGCATTAAAATATATTTGAAATCAACAGAAAAGTCCATTGCATACAATTAAGTCTATATTGAAAATGAATATACCTTAATGAAAAATCAAATTATTTTCCTAAGCTGTAGACAGTCGTGCTTATTTCCGTCTCTTTAAGACCATGCCACTAAGTGATTTTTACCTCTTGCTTTCATGATTTTTTTATTATTTAAGATACCAAGTAAACACGATAAGTGAGTATTGTCGAAAAAAAATATTACCCAGTCTTAAAATCATATCTTTGCTGTGCTTCCATCTTTTTATCTGCCACAATAACGAAATTTTATCAAATTTTGAATCGGGTGAAAGTCCTTATTTGAAAGTGATTTACAGTGATCAGGGAAAGCGATTTACACTTACCAACCCAGACATCCTGTTCTGGTGAACCAAACCCATTCTTATATTCCGTCCAGGTCCTGTTGAAACTCAGGGATCCATTGACTCGTTTTTGGATTGCCTTTCAAAGTAAACATGTATAGCAATACTATTCATTGTTTCAAACAATTGTATGATCAATATGTTTTGATATAAACTAAAAATATTGATATCATTTTTATCCTATATTCTTTGGAACAACAAAAACACAGAGTGCGAATTATATAATGCACCCTAATTTTGAAATATATTACATACCGTCCATCCTCCGTCCATTATCTCCATTTCACAGTACACTCTGATAGGACTGGTAATGGAGCCATAGGGATAAATGTCGTACACTCCTGAATTAGACTGACCATCTGCATGAAGATCCTTACAGTCAATGGGAGTAACTAAAGCAGGAACTAGAGCAGAAAAAAAAAACAAACAAAAAGAAAATACTGGAATCATATTATGTATATATACAGGTAGTATGTGATGTATATGCAGGTAGAAAGAGAATACATTATACTTGGAAGATAAACTAAGGTTAATTGCTGAAGTTAAGTTGTGAACTACAATATAGATTTTGCTAAACTGTTCCTCATTACCTAAAATCATTTTGAATAAACAAATGTTTCAAATCTTTAATCTAAAATGTCTTTTAAATATACCGAGCGACAGAGAATGCTTAGTGATCTAAAGCGCAAGGTTCCCATCTCAGCTTTCAGAGCAGTTATTGCAAGATAACAATTTCGAGATACTAGTTTGAAGTGCATCCTTTTTTTTAAATATTTTTAGTCAAATACAAACTGCAATTGTCTTATGGTTAAGAATGATACAGTGTTATTATCCCTGAAATGAATTTCATAAATGTATCAAGATGTAAACTTTAATCTTTTTTTCATTAGTATTTCCTTCACAGTGGAAGTCGAAATTTTTAATCAATTTTTAATCAAAGATAATACTAACGGAAAGCAAAAATAGAAAAAAAAAATATTGGAATAACAAAATATAATTCCATCAATTTCAAACTTATCAGTCATTCGAAATAAAAGTAATTAGAAAAAATAAGTAAACAGACAAGACTATTACTTAGAATTAAATATGTTGAAAATATCATTGATTATTCCTCATAAAAGAGTATTGTCCTAGGGAAAAATAGTATTGTGCTTAGTTAATAAAAATGAACCTTTTTTTTCTTTCTAAAAACCAATGATGTTTATTTGATTTGTGGCAAACAAAGAAAAATAACATATATACATACAGTCAAGGGGGTAGTATCTCCAACCGCCCTCATTAGACATCTCTGACGTGAAAAACTTCTTGTGGATACGACATTTCTTTTTGTGAGAATTAAATCCATTGAAACTACATTCTCTTTGACAGAGAGCTGCACACTCTATCGACGATGTAGAATTGTATTCTTTCAAGAGTTCATTACTTGATTTTTTGTCATCAAATTCCAATTTCGGGATGTATTTTCGCGAAATAATGGTAGACTGAGACACCGCAAAGAGGACAAAAATTAAATAGATAGCCCAAAGAGCGCCCATATCGTAATTTGTATTTTAAGCTACCTGCTGTGTGCCTGTAAGAATTTGCAATATGGTATACCAAACACTAAATATAAATATCAAAGCATATATCTGTTACTGAAAAGTGATTGGATAACTGTTACGTCTTCTGTATGTTTCAATCATTTAAATATTGATTTGTTGAATCTGATATTAATTACTATAAATGTTTACTTTGCAACTGCAATTCCAAATATTAAAATGAAAGATTGCTTTTTATTAGTTCAAGTCTATAGTATGTCTAATATTACATCACTGCAATGTGTTTCTGGATTAGCTGTCCTTAAATTATCAAACGTTTAGAATTATTTCCTTCATTAGATTAAGGTTTCCTTCTCCTAATAAAATTAAAATTTAGTTATTTCAAGGTCAAAGGGACAATTATCTGATTCGCCGAAAATATATTTAGATTTTTCTTCAAGTGTTTTAATTTTTATTTATGCTTTTAAGCCTTAAATAGTAGTCAGCAACACCTTATTATGAGAATTAGTTAAAATTTGAAAACATTGTCAATTGAAAAAGAGGTGAAGATAACAAACAGTGGTCGATCTAAAATGAATACTCAAACAATACAAACCTGTAAACAGGGCATAGAACATGGACCCCTGGAACCTTATGATGTAGGATCAGGTGCTTAGCAGGAGTAAGCATGCCTTGTTGTCAAGTCAAAGCCTCCTTTATTGATAAGTTAGACCGAGGGATAGTCATATTTTGTATAAAAAAAAACAAAGCGTACCATTGATATGAAAGACTACCAAATGATAGGTTGTATTTTCTAACTAGTCCCTATAATGACCGAAGAATTTATGAAATGTAAATCTTTTCCGCAAGACTTTTTTTTTGATGTTAAAATTTCTTGTTATTTAAAAAAAAATTCAGTATCTTTGATTTTATCATGTTAAGCCTTCAAAATTATTTTTATTTCTAGATTTTCGGGATAATCTTTCAAGCTCTTTTCATAAAAATACTATTTGAGTAAAAAAAAAATTGTTTGCTTTTGTTGATTGAATAGAAAGTCAGGTATATTTTGCTTATTCTGTAATTCTTTTAATGTTGATTTCAAGTTGATTTCATAACATTGAACTTTCATGGGAACATTAAAGCATAAAATGTTAAAATAAGGGGTTTCTACAAATTGTACTATATATATATATATATATATATATATATATATATATATATATATATATATATATATATGTGTGTGTGTGTGTGTGTGTGTGTGTGATGGCACTTTCTAATCGGTTAACCGGTTACTCGGTCGGAACGATGGTAATCGGTTAGAAAATCTTTAATCGGTTAGTCGGGAGAAAAAAAGTATTTGTGTAACTTTGAACACAATTTCCTAAAAATTCAATTAAAAGAATATATGAAATATTAGCATTTTCACCTATATATTTAAACAGATTTGGAGATACTTCTCTTCGGATTGACATCGTGGGGTTAATTGCTAAATTTTTGAGATATAATAACACCAAGTCGTTATCCACCCTTACTTATCATAAGTCGTTATCCACCCTATACCTTACTTCTTCTATTTTTTGCAGTTTCCTATCAAATTATATCATCAAACAAATATTGAAAATTAAGTGGTAGTTTAGACTTAGTTTTGATTTTTGTGACAGTGCAGATGGAGCTTGCGTGATGTATCTACCGATTTCTTTAAAATGTATCTGAGACTTCAGGAGTGTTTCATCAGTTTCTTAATCTTTCTTTCTTTCTTTCTTTTGTTTTTGTCGATTAAAATTAAGATAAAATATAAAAAGTATTCTGATTACATAAAAACAGAGTATTTCTACATGTTACATCTTCATAGCCTTGTTTATTTGAGTCAGGCTTAAAATGATATTTTTGATACGATTAACAGATTAATCGGTCGGAACGTCTTGCGGTTAACCGACTGCCAATTCTGTATTCGATTGCCATCCGTAATATATATATATATATATATATATATATATATATATATATATATATATATATATATATATATATATATATATATATATATATATATATATATATATATATATACTTAAATAAATGAAAACAGAATGCTACAGTCCAAATTAAATAAAATCTTTACTGTTAGCGCTTTCAGCCATGTTGGCTCTTCAGACAGTTATGAAAAGATCAAAACGTTGCCAATAACGTTGCTGATGACGTCGTAAAAATCTTAGGTATTATGACGTCACAATGAAGTTTGTGGTAGCGGATACATGAACTTTTTCAAAGCAGTTAAAATACAATGTATAATTAAAGCATAGAAATAATATAAAATCTGTGAACACATAATCTATCATTTGCGATTTAGTTTTGGATTAAACAGTCTTATAAAATAGTCCTCTTTGGTTACACGGGCGCTTTCATCCGATGTCCACATTTTGTAGAACGGGAAAATCTTAAATTTTCCTTTCCAACACTCAGCAAAATGTTCTGAACATGGGGTGCATCTGACAGTTTCGTCCCTTATATGTTGTTTGTGAACCCTAACTCGTGCGTTGAGTTGATTTGTCTGCCCTATATAATGTTCTCCACAGGTAGGGCATATTGCACAGTAAATCAATTTGAAGATTTACAATTCATACTGGTATTTGGTTTTAGAATTTTCCCGTTTTTAAGTGTAATATGTTCGCCCTCCTGAATGAAATCACACGTTCCAAAACAAGTATGAAAATACTGACGCCATTATGTTAGAGGAATTGAATAAAAGAAGTAGTGGCAACGTTTGTAAAAAGCTGATGGAGTTATGGAATAATGATGTTAGTCGGGAAGAGGAAAAATCCAAGAAGATACTGGAATCAAAATCTGCATGGTTGAAACAATATGAGATCAACTATGGGAAAGAACCAACAAAGCCTAAAAAGATTAAAAGAACACCAACATTAAGAAACAAACAAGAAAATAATAAGGGGAACAATAATCGACGTACTGAACATCGATCTACTACCAGAAACAGAGAAAGTAGCTCAAAACGTCTATCATATGCGGAAGTACTGAGAAGAGGAATACCACACCATGGACCCCAAAGTAATTCAAAGAAGTCTTCAGAACAATACCCTAGGTATGTTCAAAACAGAGAACGCGATCAACACAGAATTGATCGAAGGAGATTCGCTGCAAAGGGAAGAACTGCACGCAATAAAGTAAACCATAAAAACTCTTGGAGAAACTCAACACAAGAGACATATCAAAATGCTAGGAATTCTTCCTTTAAACAGAGGACAACTCAGAAAAACATAAGAAATAAGTCACTACAGAATTCCAGGAATTCTTTTTTAGGACAGGGTTGGACTCAAACGAAACGAAAGAAATAATTAACTGTCCTGAAAACACAGAGAACATAGTTTCTACAGAACCCAAAATTATCAACCTATCACAAAGAGACTTAAATAGTGATGAAATAAAACTTTTAGAACATGGTTTAAAATTCACGCCTACGCCGAAGTCTGATAAGGTTGATGTCGTCACGGACACAGAAGAATTCTGCCGAAAATTACGCTTGAAGGAATTCTTTCAAAATCAAACCAATGATGATATATCTCTAGTTAAAAATAAGAAGGGTTTTAAGCCAACGCTTAATAGAGATAAACATTTGGAGGATTATATCTCATGTCTTTGAAAGGCAGCTCAATCCAACATGGCGGATAAAAAGGTAACATCAAATATTTCTCATAATCAATATCAAGCAATGCAAAATCTTAAAAGAGACCAAACAATTGTTATCAAAAGCGCCGATAAAGGAGGAGCTATAGTAATTATGGACAGAGAACACTATAAAGAAATGTCCCTATCTCAACTCCAGGATAATCAGTTCTATAAGAAACTAGAGCAAAATCAGGATCGGCAATCTATGCTTAAAATAACAAACCTCACAAAGAAGTTTCAAAGTAACCTCACGAAAAACGAAATTGAATACCTTACGAACTTTGAAGTTAAAACTAGCCATTTTTATGGTCTTCCCAAAATACACAAATGTAAAGAAATCCAGGAAAATGTCAAGAAATGTAAAACTTCCTAGACCAAATGATCTTAAACTGAGTCCCATCATTGCAGGACCTGCACCTAGTACACAAAGATTAAGCAATCTGCTAGATATAATCTTAAAACCACTGTGCACCAAAGTGACCAGTTATGTTCGTGATGATATGGATTTCCTAAACTTTATTCCACAAACAGTACCAAGAGATACACTGCTTGTTAGTTTTGATGTTACCAGCTTATATACTAATATTACGCATGATTTAGGAATTGAGGCAATCAAATATTGGTTGGATAAATATCCGGAAGAAATCGACGATAGATTTCCCGCAAACTTCATCTTAGAAGGACTTAGAATTGTACTAGAGAATAATAATTTTGTTTTTGATGACGAAAATTATCTACAAATCAAAGGTACTGCCATGGGCACCAAAGTCGCCCCTACATATGCTTGTTTAGTTATGGGATTTCTAGAAGAAAAACTTTACACTATTTTATCGGAAACCTTTGATCTGGACTTTACGCAGTACATTAAAGAGAATTGGAAAGGTACTTGGATGATTGCTTCATCTTTTGGGCAAGAAGTGAAGAGGATCTTAGAAAATTCCATTCGGTCATTAATGAATTACACGATTCAATTAATTTCACAAATGACATGAATCGTGATTCACTTCCTTTTCTAGATATACTCATAATAAAAAAACGGAGAAGATATTTCTACAGACCTATTCTGTAAAGAAACAGATACTCACCAATACTTGGACTTTCGTTCCTGCCATCCGTCACATACAAAAAGGAACATTCCATACAATATGGCCAGACGTGTTTGTACCATTGTGACCGAGCCTCCTCTACGCTTGAAAAGACTCCAAGAATTAAAACAACAGCTGAGGCGACAACACTATCCAATAAACCTTATTGAGGACGGAATCAACCGGGCAAAAGACATACCAATAACCAAATTAAGAAAAAGTCGCCATCCAGAGGAAAACGACGTA